CGTCTTTACTGACTTTGGTTAAATATGTATATATATATATATCTCAGTTATTATCTGCGTTTTGTTTAAATATGGATCTTAATCATGAGTATTTTTAAGTACACCTTTGTAAAAACATGTTTGTATATTGGGTGCTGCCCATTAGATAAATAAATAAATGAATTGATGGATGTATCCATTACTACATGGTAGGATATCATCATGAAAAATGAGAAATAAAACTTTCTATGTTAAACCACTTTTATTTGTTTCTTGATTTAGTTTGAAAATGTCCTCAAAGGAAAAAATCGCGAAAATCCGTGAGTATCCTATAAAGTACAATTTAGCCTGAGACACTTGTCTTACTGCCTCTTAAAAATATACCCTTTTCAATTTAAATCATAAATTTGTTTTGTACTTCTCAATCCTAAATACATTCATTCCACCATACTGAAGAACAATACAATATTTGTAGTGTTTTTAGAAAATCCCAATAGTTTGAGTGACTTGGATACAATGTGAAGCTTCAGAAATCTGCATCAACTGGGGTGGTGGATTACATCATGCAAAAAAATCTGAAGCATCTGGATTTTGTTATGTCAACGACATAGTTCTAGGCATTTTGGAACTCCTGAAATATCACCAACGTGTTTTGTATATTGACATTGACGTACATCATGGAGATGGTGTTGAGGAAGCATTTTATACTACAGATCGTGTGATGACAGTGTCATTTCATAAGTATGGTGAATATTTTCCTGGAACTGGAGACTTGCGAGACATTGGTGCTGGAAAAGGAAAATATTATGCCGTTAATATTCCACTTCGTGATGGCATGGATGATAGTGCATATGAAAGCATTTTTGTACCTATAATAAGCAAGGTTATGGAAACATTCCAGCCTAGTGCTGTTGTTCTACAATGTGGTGCTGATTCATTGACAGGGGATCGTCTGGGATGCTTTAATTTAACAGTAAAAGGTCATGGAAAATGTGTAGAATTTGTCAAAAAATATAATCTTCCATTCATGATGGTAGGTGGTGGTGGATACACCATCAGAAATGTATCTAGAGCATGGACTTATGAAACTTCAGTTGCTTTAGGAGTTGAAATTGCTAATGAATTGCCCTACAATGATTATTTTGAATACTTTGGACCTGACTTTAAATTACATATCAGTCCCAGTAACATGGCCAATCAAAATACTCCTGAATATTTAGAGAAAATCAAAAGCAGATTATTCGAAAATCTAAGAATGTTGCCACATGCCCCTGGAGTTCAAGTACAAACCGCCCCTGAGGATGCTATAAATGAGGAGTCTGATAGTGAAGATAAGGTCGACAAAGATGAAAGACTTCCACAAAAAGACTTGGACAAAAGAATAGTTCCAGAAAATGAATTTTCTGATAGTGAAGATGAAGGTGAAGGTGGAAGAAGAGATAATAGAAGCTACAAAGGTAGGAAACGCCCCCGTTTAGACAAAGGAGGTGAAAATAAAGAATCAGGAGAGGATAAAATTAAAGAAGATGTAAAACTGGACAAAGGTTAGTTGGAATATTTGATATTGATTTAGCAATGATTTGATGTAGAATGATATATTTATGACAAATATCTGATCTCATTCAATCAATTCTCCATTGAACATTCAACACATTCAATCAATTGGTTAATATCTGCAGAAAATACAATAATGCTTACATTCACAAAGATGTTTCAGTTTTCACATTGAATGGTTTTCTTGAATTTAGCCAACTTGTTAATGACTTTAATCTTATTGACCTAGAATAAAAAGTTATCGATTGATTTTTGTTACCAAATACTCTTTTTTGCATTGCTTTTAAATATGTCAAAGGCTTAATAATTCCTGACGAAGTCTAGTATTAATACTATTTAATCACTAAAAACAAACATCAATTGTAATTTCACTTGAAAAAATTGAATGCATTATGGTTTGATATGTGAGAATTCAATGTATATTAAAAATAGGTGGAACTCTATTCACAAAATGAGAATACATTTCAAAATGTAGATATTATTAGTGAAGAAGATATTCTTTTATAGCAAATTAAAAACTTGAAACATGTTTTGAAGTTAAATATTTTGGAATGAAGTTGTATGATAGTTTCTAATTAGCTAAATGATCTTTTAAAGAGGAATCACATGAACATTCCTTGTAGTCTTGTCATGAACTTCAGAATGTAGAGAGGCTTCTTGTTATTTATTACTTTATGAACAAAAGTAGCTAGATGAACTAGTATCTTTTCATGCATCTTCGACCAATTCAATTACTTTATTTCCTCAGAAACATGGACATCTCTTTGCAATAAGTAAATATAACAAACACATTATTAGAGAGCAATAAACATCTGTGCAGGAACCATAATTGAAATCAGCATAAATTAGGTGACTCAAAACTATTCAATTATTTTTTAAGCATACTGATTATTGTCAATATATAGGTCTGAACTCTTAATTATAGCACCATCAATTTTAATATAATAAAACTCCAAAGTAGATCAACTGGGACTTACAGGAATTAAACATCAATCCATGATTTGTGGAATATTCAAATACTGGTTTTGGCAGAACTATCTGAAACTAGAAAAGATCTGACTGTCATTAGCAAATTGATGGATAGTACAATTATCAACAAGATTTTGGCAGTGATTAGTTTATATTATGAATGAACTGACTCTCTACTTAATGAAAATTATCAACACTATCCATGATAGTAATCACACTATTTTTACAAATATTTTCATTTATAGACGTGTTTTGCTAACACAGCATCTTCTCGATAGAGGAAGTCATTACAATTATTGTTTATTTTGATATTAGAAAATGATATTGAAAAATGAATTTCTAGCGGAGGGTGATGTAAAATTTTCAATAAGAACATTTCTGATAGAATCACATTAAATACTGTGAAATTTGTTAGGATTAGATCTAATGTTATGCCAACGTGGTTATGAATATTATTTATTGAGTAAAGGTCATACCGACTTAGAATCTCATTGATCAATTTAGCTTTAGGATTACCATCAATAAGGCTGTAGGAGGGATCATTTATCTGTGGGATATTAAAATTACCTTCGATGAATACATTTTCAGAGTAAAGATTTTTATTTGTTTTGAAAAAGAGAGTTAAATAAATTGGAATCAGACCTAACATGGACACAATAAACTAATTCGCTCACTTTCAGTTTGATATTTAACCATTGAAAGTCAATGCAATAATCAGAAATGCAATTGCATTTATGATTATTGGGATGCTTTTTTTTTGGTCCACAAAATAATTTAAGGAAACAGGAGATTTTCAAGCTCATCAATCAGCTATACTGCTATAGATCAAATCAAATCATGTTTTATTCATTCAAAAACCCACCAAAGCATTGAAATTATCAAAATCCAGTATAATTCTGATATGTGTATTAAAAGATGTAAATCTTTTACTAAACACTTTTAATCTTCCTCTTTGAAGATGATCACTTGATGATCGAAACATGTGTCGAGGTGTTAAAAATAACGATTTAGTGTTGGGAAAAAACTCCAGTAATATTTATTGGGATGCTGATGAAGTGCTTGTTTTGGATTTATTTTACGACAGAGGTTACAGTTTTACCTTTTATTGAGTGTCAAAATCATCAATTTTTCTCACGGACATCTTGCGATACTTCTTTTCCAAGCAGAAAAGAATTCCTCCACTTCTTTGAGTGTTTGTATTTTCATAGAGCTCATAATTCCTTATCAATACATACTAATTATCACATGGTTTATCATCAAAAACTGAACCATTTTCAACTAGGTTTTTGTTGCACAGATAACATCAAAGTTATTTTCCAGAAGATTTTTTTTTTGCCTGAGACCACAAAAATGTTGATAGAATATATTGAATGATTCAATATTTGACTATCGTTGATATTCATGGGAGTAAACTTCAGTAATTTCAGCATTTAATTCTCTATCCGAGTTATTCTTTGGTAGTCTGTTCAAAAAATAAAATTAGTTGGTCTTCTACTTCTCCATTGAGAATATCTCTAACTTGATATTTGATAGTAACCTGGTTTTTAATTGTAAATTTAGGGTCATGAGAGTATTTTTGAATTTGAAGTCAACAGCTAAGATAAATTGTTCAAACCTGCCGTCTTCATCTGTGCTGAGCTTTTTAACATCAACTACCTTTTGTTTGTTGTTCTGCAATAAAATGCAAAGTGCGTTGAGACTTTTTACCCTATTTGATTACAATGTGTTATGTGAAGTTTCTTAAAATTCAATTTCAGGTCCAGTAGAACAGGAAAATAGATGAAAATATCCATCTGTACTTGGATAGGTAAGTTTCTTCATATATTTGGTACCAAAATATTTTCTTGGTCTGATCACCATAATAGAAACATTTAAGTTTTGTAGTACTTTAAAAATTAAAAAGGGTTTTATATTTCATTACTACCCGTTGATCTATACAAAAAGCAGCCTTCAAAGGTCGAAACTTGTTTAAGCTAAGTATTAACAAGGTGTTACCTTTCAACATGTGATTTTTAACATACTTCATACGTTGTGCGTTAAGAAATGTCTTGTTATTATAAGTTGACTAATAACCTCAGTTTTTATCAAGCAAACGGGAATTTTTGGTCCACAAAATAATTTAAGGGAACTGGAGATTTTCAAGCTCATCAATCAGCTATACTGCTATAGATCAAATCGAATCATGTTTTATTCATTCAAAAACCCACCAAGGCATTGAAATTATCAAAATCCAGTATAATTCTGAGATGTGTATTAAAAGATGTAAATCTTTTACTAAACACTGAAGAAATACACGTAAACATTCCTAAACGAAATAATTTTTTTAACTTTGATTTTATGAATAAAGTAAATTGCAATTGATTTCCCAATGTAAAAGTTGTTTAATGAGATATGTTTTCTAAGGTCAAACATCACTATTCACTAATGGTGAATATTCTCAAATAAAATGTAACATATCTATTATTTTGAAGCAATGAGAAAAGCAGCTGTCACAAAATCATGTATCAAGTTTTCTCCCTAGATCAAAGTATGAAGTTTTTGATTTTCTATTTGAAATTTTTGAAAGCTGCATTGATTTCTGAATCGATAGGGGATGTACCAATTTGAATAAGGAGGTTGAGTAATATGAAAATATTTAGCGTAATGTGAAAACATAACAATTATTTGAAATAATCATCAGAAGACGATGACGATGATGGCAGTCTCATAATAGAAAATTACCATTTCCCATTAGATATATGTAGATAGAGGAATGTTCGAGGTTCAGACTTCTATTGTCAAAAAAAATGCCAGTACCGAAATCTTTTGAATTGTTTCTAGAGACATTTGTCAAACTGTCAAATCGATTTTAATTTCCAAATCAGTTATTACCTTGTCTGGAATCCTTCGCGAATCTCAGTCTGGGCCTTTTCTTCCTTAATTTATTTATTAATTACATTGAATCCATCTTTAACAATATTAATTTCTAATTATTTGCATGAGACCTGAAAATAAAAAAAAATCTTGTCTTGAAGATGCTCAAGTTCTATAATCAACAATTGATCTGTTTTTTCCTTGGTGTATTGAAAAATACCTTATGGCAAATGTTAATAAAATGGATTGAATTCTCTGCCAACAAATTAACCATAAGTTTTTCTCATCATCTCAAAGATACAGCAATGCAATATGATCTGGTTATTACATTCGATATGTAATTGACATTTCACCCCTATATCAAGCAACCTTACTCGATCTTTTAAAATACCAGATTTTATATATTATGTTTTATATATAATCCGTTCCTCATTGGAATTTCCAAATTCAATCAAATTTCTGGACTCCTTCCTTGTTAGATATTTTTTCAAATATATCCCCACAGTTTGGCACCCTTATTATTTATATCAGATTGAGAACTTTGAAATGGTTTAGAATAAACTTTTGGCACTTATCATTATGTCAAAATAAAGTTTTTTTTAGGTTACGTTCATTGTCCTATTTTTTCAGAAGAGCAGGTTCAAGAATTTCTAAGAAACAAACTATAAAAGTTCAACCTTGTCACACTAATTACGAGTATACCACTGACTACAAGCATACTTCAATGAACAGAATACCGAGACTTGCAAATATATATCACTTAGAGAGAGACATATTTGAAATAACATTACAATCTTTTGAAATACAATACTTTAAATTAAAATTATTTAGAATGTACAGCATAATACAGCAATACCGCTTGTAGCGATTTGTTTGATTTCTATAGATTTTTTTTGTTATACAAAAACAATTTTTACACTTCTAACTTTACTAAAGAGACGTTTTCTTATACACTAGCTTCCTCAGTCGAACTGGTACATTAAATTCTATTTTACTCATTTTATACAACAATATATTAATAATGGTAATTCTTGGTAAACAGATAGATTTTAAGAAACAATATTAATTTTAGCTAAGCAGGTAAAATTGAAACAAGTACTTAATAAAAATTATTTCTAATAATGATGGGTGATTAACTTCTTGTTGGTAGTTCAATGGGGAATTTGATTGTTTTCGTTTATTGATTTCTAGGGATTCCAACAAGTTCAATTCTTGTCCTTTATTTTCTTTATGTAATTTGTAATAGTTCATGTCAAAATTGTGGTTGTTCGTGGCACCAATTCCACTTATACTTGCATGAAGAAAAACATTGAACCTGCTAGAATTCCCGGAAAATCAATGAACGAAAAGCATAAATTTCACAAATAAAATGCATGTATCGTGTTTTTATTATTACATTGTTTTATTTTAACGGATAAAGTTACTAATTTTCATCAAGTAGCAGGACAGTGTTGATAAATGAATGAATATTTATACAGTTTGTTATCAAAGACAGTTCACATATTTGTTGAATTCATACAAAGCCATTACTTTACTTTACCTTTCATATGGGTATGCTGATTTCTATGTTTAGTTTCAGTATCTTGTTAATACTTTTTGAGAGACATTCTCTATTGAGACACTCTACTGATCAGTATATCATTTGGGAAAATGCTTACTAAATTTTGAGCATTTGCAGAACCGTGTGTTAGCGGCCGACTGTTCAGAATATACCCCACCTCAGCGAACAATGTTTGCAGTACCTCTATTTGGGATGCCTGTCTTTCACAATTGCCATTAGAAACCTTTTGAAACAACCTACTAATCTCTTCCAGCTGCCTCCCATATGTTGGGCTGAGGGGGGATTCAATTTCCATTTTATGTCCCTATTTGCAATATCTTCTACCAGGGACGTCATTTGTAAATCTTCCAAATATTCCAACAGTTCGAGATTTGCTCCATGCAACTTTGTTTCATTATCAGACCAAAAATACCTCAACGGTTCCACGTCTTGCCAGAAATCTTCTTATTGCCATTTTGCACGAGTCTGTGTCCAGCAAATGGGCAATTTTAATATGTACTGCTCTTATGGCCAAGCAGATAAACAGGACATTGGGAAGTTTCTCCAGTCGTCATTCAATCTTGACCTGAAATGAACCAAAATAGTCGATTCTAGTAGCGGTAAATGGTTTATGACGAAGTAATCGTTCTCGGGGCAAAATTCCCATCTTTGGTTGGACTTGAATTTCGGATCGTTGACGACAGTTAATCACTGTATTATTACTTTTTTTACAGTTCTGCGAATATAGGGGATCAAGAATCTTTTTAGGATAGCGTTTATAAAAGTTTCAATACCGTTATGAGCATTTTTTATGTGATAAGTTGATCAGTTTGAGTATATGAATGCTCTCCAGCCAAAAATAATTGTTTCCTTTCTAATGATATATACATCTCCAATTTTGGTTATTCTACTGGAAATTCTGATCACTTCCCAAAAAATTGACAAATTATGAAGTCGTCCATTAATGCTACTTACATTATTTTCGAGATTGCTCCTATCTACTGAGGAACATGACGATTGTACAATTTTATACCAATAGCGTTCACTCAATTCCAATAAGGAAATGTGAGAGGTGAAATTTTCAGAAAAATCATGCTTTGCGTTTTCCAGAAACGTCTAACCTACCATCGACCGTGAGTCAGGCTGTATATATAAATATATAGGTAATACAAGTATTACACAGGATAGAAGCAGAATGTGTTTTGTTCCACATAAATTTCAATATTAATACAACAGATATACATGAAGACAATATTATGATAATTTTCTTTTTCTTGGGCAGTTGCATTTTTGTTTTTTTTTTTGGAAAATGGTTGCTGACTTCTTTTCTTCCTGGTCAGTTTTACCATGTCTCCAGCAGGTTTTTTCTTCAAGTGGATTTTTTATTTTATTGAGATGTATACCAATTCTGTTTCATGAGATAGCTTGCTGTTGCTTTACATGATATTGCATAAAGTTGACAGTGAACCTAACCTCTCTCCATAGAAGCATAACATTTCAAAACATCAATATTCAACAGGTAGAAAGGGGTAAAAAAGCTGGTTTTATCTACCCTGAGAACATTAACTGCTAGACAGTCCATTATTTTTACCAGGTTAAAAAAGTTGAGCTGTCTTTCATTTTTTCAATCGTATATTCAGGTTTTGTGTCAAAATAGAGTGTATTCATAGTTCTATAAGTTTGGGAAAGAAAGGTTTTGGCTTCCTTTTTCGTAAGGGCATTGTTTTCAGTTTGTGTCTGAAAATTACTTTTTTGCATGATCTACACTTCTTTGTATAGAGTTAATTTTTTGATATCGACTGTTTTCTTACTTTCTTTGGAAGATTCTCACTTTTTTTTGAATGAAGATAAAGAAGTAGAAAGCCGAAACCTTTTCAAAATTTTTTTAATGTACCCCGTTCAATTTTTCGAACAAACCTGAAACACTAGATTTTATGTGTGTTGTTGGATTTGTAATGATTGTGTGATCTGTATGTGTGGATTACTGTTTTGCCAGTATGTCGTCGTCAACAAATCTTCCACCATATCTTTGGTTCATTTTGGTAAGTCTCGATATATGTTTTCTCAAAATGGTTCCTGAAGATGTTAATCAAATTACAACATTACAAATTCTTGTTCATTCATTTTTGAACTGGAAAATTTTTATTGACACATTATTTCAGAAACTCCAAGATATATTTCACATTCTATTTTGTTCCATTTTTCAAATTAGTATCACATTCTAATTTTGTTTTTACAATTCTTAGGGTTTTATCAACAATATTGTGATCAAGCCTACATCAAAAATACTTGAACTGGTTAGTATCGTTTGAATGCATTGTGCCTCTGATCTGTCGCGGCAGATATTTTTTAATGAACAAAACCAATATTAGATACTATAATATTTCAATGTCAGATATTGAAAATTAATAGTATTGAAGACAAATTTCAAGAGANTCGTTGTTTGAATCGTCTCTTTTGAGCAACATTTAGTTTTTTTTAAATCGGGGTAATCTTTTCAGAAAAAGTAAGTCGGCGCCTTCTTGGTCAGGCGATTCTTTCTTTTTTGTGTTTGCATTACATTTATCACTCAAGGCAGTCAGACATTGTACATCTGAGTTTTCCCAATTTTCAGTGTTTTTTTTTGTATTATGCGTTTCTTGGAAGAGGATCCCTGCGGAGTTTTTTCTGACAACTCAGAGGATACGGAGGAAACAGGATAACTTTCCACTAAGTATGAAGTCGATGTTTTATTAACTTTTTGATTTTGACTTTCTTCAATATTCTTCTGTGAAATATTTGAAGTATTTACATTATCCTCTTCATCAATAATAGTTTCCCTTTCCTCCAGTTGAAAATAACTGCTCGAAGAGCTCAAAAGTATAGAACAGTTATCTCCTTGAGCTCGGAGAGCTGGAAATAACAAATATCCTATATTTTTGAGCTTGAAGAGCTAAAAGACGTATCGAGTGGAATTTTGAGCGCGAAAGCATAGAATTAGCGGGAAGTTACAAGGATGGCTTTTAGGGTCAACGTTCTTCAATTTCTCTTCTTTTTCTGAAATAACTGAAATTTTCCTACTGTAAGTCACTACTTCACCCTTGGATGAGTTACGATTTAGATAATGCGTAAGATCGTTATAAATTTAATAAAATATACACCACCAATTATTTTACAAAATTAACAGGTCAAAAATAACATTTTAAAACAATAAAAGAAAAATCCTCTCAGGTATCTCAAAGGTGCAGTTTCATCCACTGCGATTCAGAGGTACATATAGATTATAACGACCAGGAGTCATATTGTCTGCTGCATAATTACTCTTATCTAATCCATCTAGACTATCTAGAGGAAATTCGATGGTAACATTCAAATTGCTCCTAAATCTTTCCGTTATAGAGAATCTTTTAAAATGAATGACTAAAATACAAACAACTCGAACACATCGGTGTTTCATGTCCATCCAAAGTTTCCTCTCTTGTGAAGAAATCGAACCATTGTGATGAACTCAATTAGCCAGTTCTATGTGATATGAGAAGTGACAAATCCCAGAAAGGATCGAAGGTTACTGATGAGTGTCCACAGTGTGTGCATTTCATAGTGGATTTTAACTGACCAACACAATTATCTACAATTTTTCATCAATTTCCGTTAAGTTTAGGTTTCTCATTATTTGTACTAACGTCATCATGTAAAGCTTCTGAAAGATAACGAAGGAATTCCTGGACGTCTTGATGCGCATGACTAAACTGACCATTTTTTTGTCAACTCAAAACGGGACGTTCATATATAACATACTTATGTATATATGTATGTTATATATTCCAAGGTCCATACAGTATTGGCCATACTCAATACTGTATGGACTCATCTCATTAAAGCACCTTTTAATAATAATAATTCTTCTTTATTATTTCCAATATTAGGTAATTAACAGTTTAATACAAACATTTTTATTACAGGAAACTAAAAGGCGAAGTTCAGTTTATTTTCATCTGAGGGCGATAAAAATAACCTGTTCTTAATACCTATCAACGGTTTTTTAGAGATGATTTTAGAAAACGGGACCATTTTACGTCCCAGATCATTATTTGGGGACAATGGGACAGATGGTCGAATAAAGGGGCAGTCCCGTTCAAAACGGGACGTCTGGTCACTTTACGCATGATCCATGAATCGAGGGCAAAACTCTGACTCTGACTTTTCAAGGAGATTGTGTTCACTACTCTATCAGAAGAATTTTCCAACCGCTTTGAGCAAAGCAACCTCCATACTGGAAATATTTGAATTGATATCTTTCTCATCCTTTCTTAATATTCCAGTAACCATCTCGTGTTTGATAAACATGATAAACACCTGTTCATGAAATAGGTGTTGCCAATATTTTTCAACCCATTAGCCTAAGGGTTTTGACTGTAGAATGTATCATTATTCTAATTTTGTTGTAGCTGTTGATGATATGATCGCCACTGCGATCATATATATGGGTGCGATGATTCTCCCCATTATTGGACCAGCGATATTAGGAATTAGAAGTTAAACTGTATGAAACTGAATTGGATAGATTTATGGTAGTTTTTTCAAATTTGTGAGACAATGATAATTCAAATTTCTTTGTATCATCTGAGAAAATCGGGTCATGATCAATTTGCTTAATACATTTTGGGTGAATCACAGGAATTTTTGATTTGATTTGTGGGTTCAGGAATATTTCATCTAATTTTTGAGTAGATGGAAGAGTACCCAATACTGATGTGGCACCCGTTTCAATGGCGATACTGATTTTTTAAATTAAAAATGAATAGGCTCGGTTGTCACCGGTAGAGTTCCTCATTCTTCTACCAATTTCCTTCAACAATTTTGAAGCATGAAATCCAAAAAGTGGAGTATTTCCGAGATTTTTATTTTTCTGCAATCACAGTAGCTGCACCACTGGAATTAGACGTTACGGCAAGGTGTGAAGCTGCAACGGTGTCTACGCAGGTTTAATTCCAAACCAGAAGTTTACCAAATTTCAAAGGGATTAGACTAATACCGTCCATCATCTCGACAGACACCAAGGGGTTCAAGAACTGAAGGAACCTATGCAGTGGCGAGAGCATTTTTCATAAGTTCATTAATGGAATGATTTCTTATAAATCTGCCAGAAATAAATTTACAACTTAGGTCATGGTAACCATTTCCTTCTACAGTGGATCTACATCTGCACTTATGACTAATAAACGATGTATCATCTAAGAGGGTACCCAAAGAAGCCACAGGAAGAGCAGTTAGCTAGGCACCAGATTTTTTGGACATAACAGCTTTTAGTCTAGCCATTTGAATATGGGTAGGTTCAGCTGACTCATCTAAATCACTAAATTAATCACTGGATAATTTCAGGTTCTCTGACACTTTTTATTTTCGGGAAGGGTATTTTTCGTTTGAGATAACCATTTATTTCCATCATCCAATACGTATCAGATATTTCAGACAAAGATTTGGAAAGAATAGAGTTGATCTAATGACGAGAACTGTTATAAGAGGAAAGAAAAGCTGGCAGTGAGAGGGACGAGGATAATCGAATACCTAAACCACCAGAGTTAACTGGGAGAGTGGTTCGACTCCAAGTGATGTCTTCGAATTTATTATTGATAATTTTTTGTAAAGATTGGCGTAGGATGGAATCGAATTCTTGACACATCAAGTTGGACTGCATCTCAAGGTATATAATATATTTGGGATTGACAAACAGTATTTCAAGGGAAAATATGCTATATATAGAAAGGTCTATTGAAATGGGATGACAATATAATTGAAGACTGTTTTCTGAGTGAGGCAATATGGTAAAGACTCTACAGAGAGAGAAGCTCCCAATAACGACCAGTGTGCTTTGGAGACGATTTTAATTTGTGGATAAATTGTGAATGGATTTGTAAGCATACGAAAAGTATCGAAAATTTCACATTTGTCGAAATGTAATTCAAGTCCAATCTCATTAAAGAGGTGAATATTTTTCAGAAATTCCTGGAGAACAAAATCTATATTATCACTAATAGAACCATCGTTTAGGTACCAACAATTGAAATTGGTGTTGATAGATTTGGTCAGTTCATTTCAAGTGAGATAAAAGAGAGCAGGACCTAGAGCAGGGGTTCCCAAACTTTCTTTTATCATAGACCACTTTCAAAATTTTGCTGGTTCTGGTGGACCCCCTGCAGCTACATTTCTACCATATTCTCAAAACTCGATATAAAATAAGAAGATTAGATCTAATTATGGAAATTTGCGTTGCAGCTGCGTTCCAACTACAAATTAACATTTTTCGAATAAATAGTGAGAATTGATTGGTAAATAAATTAATTGATTGTGCTATGAGTGGATACCAAAAAAGTGGAGTTTCAATAAAAATAAGTGATTCCAGCCAATTTTGCTTATTTGATATCTACTCACAACACGAGAAACCAACCACTTCTAACTTATTTCATTCAGAAAACTCCCCATTCGGTGTGGTAGAAAAAACAATAGTATATTTTCTTGTGTTCTTGTGTTGTTTATTCAAATATGTAATTGAAATCAAATAATAATAGTGCAACTTCTACACTACAATGACAATCACGAAATATCATAATTTTAATGTGAAGGATATACTTGATGGATTGACAGCAAATTATCAATATTAGGCTTGTTTTGTCAGAAATAACCGCAAATCTCCCCTGTGATATTTAATCTGTTCCTTTTTTTTGACAAGATATGACGAGGGAAATGATGTCAAAAGCTTTCTCGCAATTTCTTGCAGTCCAGGGTATTTTTGGGTATTTCTGTCTGATACCAAAATATTTGATACCCTCCTCATTAGTGCCAAGGTCGAGTAGCTCCTCCTATAATATCACATTCTTGACATGTTGTACTGACTATGGAACTTTTACATGTGACAGTCGCTGAGCTTCTTAAAATATCATCTGCCTACATTGATTGGTGGAGTCAAGCCAACATTTTAGTTTTTCACTATTGAAACCAGATACATTTTTGTGGACCCCCGCTTACGAATTGTGAACCCTCATTTTTTGGTCGAGTCTCGTGAACCCCTGGGGGTCCATCCGGACCACTTTGGGAATCACTGATCTGGAGGATCGCCTTATTGAAACCCTCTCTGAGATAATATAATCTTTTCTCCAAAGTTAAAAAATGTTGTATTTTGATAACATTGGTTGATAAAAGAAAAAAGGTGAGGAATAATTTCGTGGGTTTTCCCAAAATGATGTTTCTGTGAATCAAGTTGAAGGCGTTTTCACAATCTAGTTTAAATAAAATTTGAGGAAATGGATTGCGATGATTATTTAAGAAAAGACTGGAGTTCTAAATTGAACAGTGGCGAGTGCCACTATCTATTTTTTAATGCTATTAAAGACACCGTACAAAATACGTCAAATTTCGGAATTCAGTTATGCTTACGAAAAAGTTACACAAGGAAGTCAAAGAAGACAGAAACTTTTCACCTTTACAACCAGAACTCGTTGTTTTGGTTGTAAATTCTGAGAGAGTCTATTCGTCCTGCTGAACCTGTGCGAAATAATTTGATCACTTTCAAGACCTTTTTTTCGTCAACTTGCAGTGGAGTACAATTTGTGTCAGGTATTGGTTCTTCACAAACGTCACGGGGATGTTTAGCTTTAAGTTAAGATAATCATTAACTGCAAAACTCTCCGTTGAAGTCAAAATACGGATTGACGATGTGAGATCGTCATCCGAAACTTTATTTAATAGGTACAGATTTTAATACATTCGTTTTCTCTTTAGATCAGCTCTCGAATTTGTGAATTAACCTTTCTGAACAGATGTTGGAAATTCTTGATGAATAAAGTGAGAGACTTTTTACGATTACCTTTATGTGGAGAAAGACAAAAGCATTTGTAAGTAAAACAAAGCAAATACTTCCAGTGATCTAACGAATTGTTTTGATTGCATTCATCAATAGCTTTGCACAAAGTTTCTGCAGCACACATCCTTGCTCCTTTGGGAATTCTCTTCAATATGTGACAATGGAGTTTGTATGGAGAAAGTCTATCATCGATACCTTTGGTAGAGCTTGCACCAGAATTCGATTCAACATTCAGACTCAGTGCACAGGTTTGAATGGAAGGAGAAACTGTTGTGGACTCAGATTTAGGAATTTTTAACGAATGAATTTATCAAACCTTTTGTAGTTTTGAATTTCTTGTTGCATATTTTATATTTAAATTGTGTTTAGTTGTAGAAGATAGTTCATCTGTGAAGGGTTCTTTCGTTTGGTATGTTTTCTTGATCTGCACATCGTGACTACTAGATAAAGGATACTTTTCGCCTCTGAGATTTCTTTTTTGAAAATTTCTCTCTTCAGCAGGCCTAAGAGTTTCAGATGTAGTACATTACATTTCCATTGCTTCTCTGTTATCTACTCAATTTGCAACACATCTCTCCAATGGTTTTGACAGTATCAGTGAATCTCTCGCAAAAGATGTGTGCTATTCGTACTGTTTGGTGGAAGAGATTTGCCTTTCTGACTATCAATAGAAAAATGGAGAAACACGGACTCAGGAATCGAAGCAAAATTGGTTTTGAATGGAGTGCAAGAAACTTAAGTCATTTTGACATTTGCAATTCCATTTAAACAATTGAAACATGTTGAACATTGTATTTACAGATGAGTATATCCGCAAAAAATGACGTATCACAATCTACGCAATCCTTGATGATATATTAACAATAGAAGTTGTCCGAGATTCGATCACTGAAGGACTCCAGATGATACCATATTTCATCCTACCTGGGTTCTACGGTTCTATCCTGGAATGTACACATGGATTGTGGAGTATATAATACAGATTCAAGAACAGCTGCATATCTATCATATGTACCTTTGATTTGGTTCTTGATGACAAGTCTCTAGCTTATGAATTCCTGATACAAATGACCAGTTTTCCTGTATTTTTCACGTCATTCAGGTTTATTTTTGTTATCGGAAGTTTAAAATAAAACTCAGATGGATACCATTCCGGATATTTGTTTGAACAGTGCCATATAACACTTCACAGAAATTATTGACTTGTCCTTCAAAGACAATTGAGTCCAGCAATGCATTTGTGGTTCAGCCTAGCAACACTGATGAGGCCAATGACGGGTCGAAACAGCGCTATCCGGTGTTGTTTTTATAAATGGGCTCTGGTTTTCAACATATACCTTGCAATGAAAGCTGCAGTGAAAGACGAAGAACGAATCTCGTCGGTGTTCGATGTCGTAACTTTGCTTTGTAACTGACCGCCCCCGGAAGCCTCATTTATCTTTGAATTGAATTATCTGTCGATTCCATTGATGACGCCTTCGTAAGGAGAAATGTCATCGCCCTTTTTCACTTAGGCTTGTTTTTTGAGGACAGTTGAGTCCAGCAATGCATTTGCGGTTCAACAATTGCACCATTAACGATACCTATGACGGATCGAAACAGCGCTGTCTGGTGTTGAATCATAAATGTATTTGTGGGCTCTGGTTTTCAACCTTATACCTTGCAGTGGAATACGGAGAACAAATCTCGTCGGCGGTCGATGTCCAAGCTTGGATTTGCAACTAACCGCCTTGAGGAGCCTCGTGTATCTTCGATATTCGAAGATTGTTGATCCTATAGATGGCGCCTTCGTAAGGGGAGATGTCATCGTCCTTTTTTACTGGAGATGTCGCCCTTCTTTACTTAGGCTTGTCCTTTGAAGACATTTGAATTCAGCAATGCATTTGTGGTTCAGTGTGGCCCCACTGATAAGACCTACGGCAGGTCGGTTCCTAATAACCAGTACCAGGAATTACTACACATTTTTTATTGTTCCAGAAATTACTCAGTTGAAAAGGGTGTACCCCAAGGGAGTTTGGCCGGACCACTGCTTTTCATATTTTTTATTAATCACACAATTGGTTCATTTGAGGGACACTATTTATCTCTTTTTGCAGATGATAAAGTAGTAGCATCTTCATTCGACAATTTCATTGACATGAGTATTACCACATCTGCTTCTGTTCATGAAGTGGACACATATACACACGCACGCACCCAAGCATTATATCGAGTTTTGTTGATGCTTTCATTCTCTCCTGTTCTCTTCTTCTTATGGTACTGAGAAATAAGAGAAATAGGCAATGCTCTAAAAAATATAATTCCGAGTATTTGTTAGTCACTTTCAGAGGACAAAAAGTTATATTTTCCTTTCATAGGTTATTGTTAAAATATGGCTGTGCAAAATTACTGGCAGATGATTTAAATCACAGGGTGGTGAGATGAATCAACTGGCATTTGTATTGAAATACAAACTGAAATTCATGCCTATTTAACAAACATGCTGTTATCATCTAATAGATATAATTACCTAAATGGCTTATTGAATTGAGAAAGCAATGTTGAAAATTTTATATTCGTTTACATTCAGTACTGATGCCATTATCTTAAGCAAATTATCTTACACAAATTTAACCATTGTTGAATTAATAATGAATGAAACTTCTTCACAAATTTTGAACACCCGCAAAGTTTAAAGTTGTTAGAAACTCTTTAGAGGGAATTGTGCCACTCATGTTCTATTAGTCTCCAATCATTCTATTTCAAACTTTTTTTTTGTTCACATAACTTAATTTTTTCAATCAGAGCTTTCTGCTACAATTTTTTTTTAAGGTCATCTCTGTTCAGTTTTCTCATCTTCTCCAACCACTTTTATAAATAAAACTAATAAAATGTTTAAAATATGAAACAATTTGTAATTTGGAATTTGCACTTGAGAACTATTCAACTAATCCACAAAATAAATTTAATCATTTTTTATTGAAATAAAAGAAATTCAACATAATCTTATTCTATCTTAAGTAGAGCTTGGAAAGATGTAGATGGTAAGACCCCAGTAAGTCTTTTCTTTGTTAACGAATATCTTACAAAACTTCCATGGCTCGTAAGGGTAGTTGATTGGCAATTAAAGCCATTTTGAACAATAAGAACTTCAAATTATTTATCAATTTGCTTCCATTTTTTCAAAACTAAAATATACATTCGATATTCCTTTCACACTGAATATAGTTTTCATTGAAGAGATTCTAAAAGTGTTTTCAACTTTATACATTCTGCTTGTGCATCAGTGTGGATCGTATCTTGTTTAGTTATTACAGTTATATTATTGTTCATACCTTCTAAATTCACATCAACTGGAATATTTTCACGCTGCAGTCGTGTCCGTATATGAGTAGATATGTTTTCATTTATTTTCATAATTCTCTCATTGGATGTGAGAAATTCACTTACCATTGAACAGTTATCGCAAAATTCAGGACACCATAAATGATTGGAAATTGACCAATCATCAGCTTTTCGAGATTTTGCAATATCCCCTTTTAAAGTTTCAATTAGTTGAATACGAAATGATTTCAATTCAATGGATGGCATAGTCACAGTAAACTTTTGTAAGTCAAAATAAAATTTGACTAACTGATCCCTTGGAAATTCTTTGGAAGATGACGTCAAATAATTTGTCAATTTTCCATAAATATAAGAAATATTTATCAGAACACAAGCTTTAAAGAGTTCTATGGTTCCTTCATATCTGTCGGAGCCCTTTTCAAATTTACATTTCCAGAGTTTAACTTTAGAGGTGAACAAGTCAATTACAATCTCTAGAAAATGTTCCATAACTGTTCGGCTACCTCCGCCATCCAAATATTTTCTAATGAAACAATAAATTATTTTATAATTTAAAGAATTTCTGTATGAAGTATTTTTCATCAGATTTTGAATAAGTGTATCAAACCAAGTAATGCCATATTTATCTTCAAGTTGTATAAACACAGGTATGTTTTCGATAACTAAAACAGATTCATCAAACTTTGACAAAATAAAGTGGGCCTCATTCTCATCATCAACATATAAAGCAATTTTTGAAAAGTTGTTGAAATATTGTGAGTCTACGATTTTACTAACTATTTTATCGTGATATTTATATTTTTCACTAATATTTTTTTTATGTAACAAATCACCAATATCTCTTAAAATTCCTTTGACTTCAATTTCATTTCCTGGCGCGTCAACAAGAGCAAATAACTCATTCAATGCATTTTGGTAATTCAATTCAAACTTTACTTTTATAGAGTCTGATTTTTTCCACAAAACAACTGCTGCTCTTTTATACCAATAATCCACTGTGCTGCCTTCATTACCGGTGGGTCCAGAAAATTCTTCTTTTAATATGTGAAAATTCTCATAATTAGTTTCTTGTGTGAAACAAAATTCATGTGTTTGTGCTTCATATTTAGCATACTTTACTTCTTCATTATTTTTATCAACCCAGTAAAAGAGTGAATCTATGGATTCAATGAAGGAATCAAGATCAGGTGCAAATTCTTCATCTGATGAAGCATATTCACTACCTTCAGTTGTTGACCAAGACTGACAAATATCAATTAGTACAATGTGGATAGACAAGTTCAAATTATCGGCAACAGAACGGAAGGCGAAAGCAGTTCGATAATCTTCACCTTTGAGTAAGTGCCAATTCAGACTGTGTTCAGAGTAAGAATGGTTAAGGAGAAATATCAGCTTCTTGGACTCTTTTTTCTTTTTTGAATAATTAGCTTGGTTCACCTCATCATGAAAATATTCCCGCACTGCATCTTCTAAATATTTGTTATGTAATGGTTTGTCATCAATACTTTCGTTTATATCCAAGATAATATTATAAGTCAAAACAACTCGAAAGCCATCCTTGATTTCTTTCACTTCATGTAAACAGTCAGAAAAAAAGCATATGCATCGAGCATTATTTTCACAGATGTTTTCTGAGGAGAATGTATGTTTATAGTTATTATGTTTAATTATTAAATTTCCTCCCACATGATGTGAAGGTAGCACAATTACTAATGTTGCAACCATATTTTTAATTTTTTCAGAGTCCCTATGCTCTTTGAAAAACTGTCCAGGACTATATATCAACATATTATGTAAGTGAGCCCTCAAAGTGGTTCTTGGCGATAGATTCAATGCTTTATGTATCTTACTAGTTATATCATCAAAAATATTCTGATTGATTTTAACATCTAACTTATCTGACTCAATCATCTGAGTATTACGAAACTCTTTATCATATACAGTTTTTTCACCCATTCCAAATTTGGCTTCAGAAGAAATGGAAATCAATTGTTCAATATAGTTCTTGTCCAGAGGAAAGAAGAGCTTTCCCAGATTTTCCACATTAATTTCAAAATTGTTACATACTATGGTGTCTTCAAAATAAAAGCAGTTATCTGGATGTTCATCATCATCATTTTGATTTGTTGCTAACAGTACTCCTGCGATTTTTTTCAGCACTTCATTTTTCATCATCCTTTCATCACAGATTGGTTGTTTGGTGAAGTTAACAGGATCGAAGCTGAAATTCTTCAAATCAGTTTGGTTTAGCTTACCACTTTCCAACGAGCTGTAACAAATTAAACTCTTTAAAGAAATATCAAATAAAAATTTTAGTAACAAAATTCAATTGAAGAGATATATTTTCAGCAATTATAACATTGCCGTGATCTGCAGGTTTTTATACCTGACGTTTCGTCTGCAAGTGCGGCAGACATTATCAAAGGCGATGCGGCAACGGTCAATTTGTTATCCAATAACCAAACTACTATACAGAAGCATGAATGAAAATAATAATAATCTTAATTTCAGAAAAAATGAAAGTGTCAGTTAATTTTTAGTGATGCTAAATCTAAGAAGGATGGCCTAAAATTCTTCTATTGTATATGGTTCTACTTCAATAAAGAGAGATTTTACACGATTTTCATTTCCTCAAGAAGTTTATTGAAAAGCCCTATGAAGGAATGCTTTTCAGCTGCTACTAGTCTATGTATGGGATAAGATATTTTGCTACAGTTATGTGTTTAATAATTATGAAGATCTATGCATATTGTGAATTCATTTTTATGTGTATACAGATACAATACATTAAGTTATACATGGTGTAACATAAGTAAGTTCAAATATTCAAGTGACGTATTCCTGGGACAATTTTAAGAAAAAAGTCTATATAAANTGAAAATGTCCGTATAGGACGAAACTGCAGTAACGTTATAACTTATAAAATAAGTATGAAAATGTCCGTATAGGACGAAACTGCAGTAACGTTATAACTTATAAAATAAGTATGAAAATGTCCGTATAGGACGAAACTGCAGTAACGTTATAACTTATAAAATAAGTATGAAAATGTCCGTATAGGACGAAACTGCAGTAACGTTATAACTTATAAAATAAGTATGAAAATGTCCGTATAGGACGAAACTGCAGTAACGTTATAACTTATAAAATAAGTATGAAAATGTCCGTATAGGACGAAACTGCAGTAACGTTATAACTTATAAAATAAGTATGAAAATGTCCGTATAGGACGAAACTGCAGTAACGTTATAACTTATAAAATAAGTATGAAAATGTCCGTATAGGACGAAACTGCAGTAACGTTATAACTTATAAAATAAGTATGAAAATGTCCGTATAGGACGAAACTGCAGTAACGTTATAACTTATAAAATAAGTATGAAAATGTCCGTATAGGACGAAACTGCAGTAACGTTATAACTTATAAAATAAGTATGAAAATGTCCGTATAGGACGAAACTGCAGTAACGTTATAACTTATAAAATAAGTATGAAAATGTCCGTATAGGACGAAACTGCAGTAACGTTATAACTTATAAAATAAGTATGAAAATGTCCGTATAGGACGAAACTGCAGTAACGTTATAACTTATAAAATAAGTATGAAAATGTCCGTATAGGACGAAACTGCAGTAACGTTATAACTTATAAAATAAGTATGAAAATGTCCGTATAGGACGAAACTGCAGTAACGTTATAACTTATAAAATAAGTATGAAAATGTCCGTATAGGACGAAACTGCAGTAACGTTATAACTTATAAAATAAGTATGAAAATGTCCGTATAGGACGAAACTGCAGTAACGTTATAACTTATAAAATAAGTATGAAAATGTCCGTATAGGACGAAACTGCAGTAACGTTATAACTTATAAAATAAGTATGAAAATGTCCGTATAGGACGAAACTGCAGTAACGTTATAACTTATAAAATAAGTATGAAAATGTCCGTATAGGACGAAACTGCAGTAACGTTATAACTTATAAAATAAGTATGAAAATGTCCGTATAGGACGAAACTGCAGTAACGTTATAACTTATAAAATAAGTATGAAAATGTCCGTATAGGACGAAACTGCAGTAACGTTAGTTACAAATCAAAGTGGTACAAAACATAGAAATTATCATTTCTCTTTTCAATATAATTTTCCGATGAAGTAAAAAACCTTATTGGAACTATTGACTCACTAAATGGAAATAATCACTTTCGGAATGCCATTACAAGAATTAATGAATAAACAACGATGTGGGTTGAACATATTCGTATGAATTTAAATTGGTTGAATTCTGTCACTAGCTTAATCAAAAATGCCAAAATGGCAGGAAATGTCTTTTTATAGAAACCCTTATATAGGGCGTAGTTCTTGAAAAAATACTACTGTGACTACAGCGGATAAAAAGAAGTTTNGTGTTGTCGTGACCAGTCTGGGAATGTAAAACACCGAAAAAATTGTCGGACATGAATAAATCAACTGACTCAGGAATTACAGGTGATGAATGTGCTAGTCATCATGCTAGTCACTGAATGATTTGAATTGATAGGATTGGCTATCAAAATTAAACTATCATAATGGTGCTTTTCTGAGAAACCCCCTATTCTAGTTATGGGGTGTTTTGAATCAGAATGACCTAGATTATATAAGTTGCGTTGGTAAATAAATTGAGTAGAAGTTAAGTGGAAATCACGACTTTGGAAAAATAATAATTTGTATTTTCATATAATGTGAAAAACATATCATATGAAATTTGATCTGATTTGATGTGATGTCACTTACAGATATATAACTACGCCGACAATTTCATACCTTTGACCCCAAATTTCTGGAAGTTCTAATCCATATCTCTTGTTCTTCTTGGTAAATGGGAGGGCTCGTATTTCAAACTAGAATGAGTGAGTCTTTCTGAGGCGTAACTGAGCATGTTTAAAAAAATCAGATTTTAAATAAATTTTTTTAAACATGCTCAGTTACGCCTCAACGATTTCAGCCATCAGTTTGGCTAAGACAGATTTGCCAGATGTTATTTTCATGTCTGAGAACAGTGTGAAAATCCATTTCGACCTAGATGATTATCTCGGTATTGCGGAATACTTTACTGGTTCTGATCATCTTTTATGATGCATATTACTGGAGCTCTATTGCAACACCAAACCATTATTTTCAACACCTCAACACGTGTTTCAATCACCAAGTGATCATCTTCAAGAGAAAGATTAAACAGCCCACTTATCCTCTTGAAGATATTCATTACTACACCAAAGGTTCCAAACAGTATATCACAAGTAAATATGTTTTACTCAAAATTCTACCTGTTACCGTCAGTTATAATACGTGGAGATCAAATCTTCAGGTGTAGTTTTTGAAATTAGTTATAATACGATAAATGTCGAAACCTATGCACTTTTAGATGACAGTCACTTTGATTGAAGAACAGTTGGCAAACGAACTGAATCTCTAAGGACCTCAAAACCACTCACCATTCAATGGACCAACAATCAAATCAAAGAACAAGAAGATTCCAGAGTTGTCACTTTCACAATAAGATCAGAAGAAAGCAGTGCGGAATTTCAAGTAAGCCATGCAAGAACAATGAAAGGTTTATCACTTTTTTTATCTTCCTCTTGAAGATGATCACTTGGTGACAAAACATGTGTCGAGGTGTTAAAATAATGGTTTGGTGTTGGGAAAAAACTCCAGTGATATTCATTACTACACCAAAGGTTCCAAACAGTACATCACAAGGCTTATCACTACCTAAACAAACTGTGTAAACAGTTGATATTCTCAAAAAATATCCTTATATAAATGAGAAAATTGCGCCAATAATTAATGTCAAACATAGAACCTCAATTGGCCAAGACAATTGGCCGTTATTGGTCAACAGAAAAAAAATTTACTGGTCCATGCAATGGAGATGCATGGGAAACTGGACTCTTCTGAAGAAATGAAAATTTAGTTCTCCCAGAAAGCAGAAAGAATGCGTTGAATAGGTTAGCATGTACGGAAAGGAAAATGGACAAAAGCTTCGAGTATGGTAAGACATATTGTGAGAAGATGGATGACTTTCTGAAAAAAGGATATAATCACAAACCCAAATAAATCCAGAATTGTGTTTGATGCTTTTTTAAAATCAAATGGGATCAGTTTAAATGATTGCTTAATGACGGGTACCGATTTATATAATTCGCTTCATACAATTTTGATGAATTTCAGGATTATGAGATATGCTTTCACCAGTGATGTTTGTTCGAAAGTGATTGACAATGTATTCTCATATGTATTTTCATTTAATATAATTGTTATTTTCAGCTATATGGCCTAAAATTCTTCTNCAGCTACCCTTTTTAATTTTCAATTGTATTGGTTCTTTCACGGATTTCAAATCATTTTATATAATATTTGACAATGGAAGTGAGAACTAATGAAATTCACCAGTGATATTGAGGAAATGTTTTTACAAGTGAAAGTTCGCTGGGAAGATTTTCAAAGTCATAGGTTTCTATGGCGTGGACTTGACAGAGATAGAGAACTCGATGAATGTGAAATTAGAGAAGTTTTTTTTGGATCATCAAATGGCTCGTGCCTAGCACAGGAAGCAAAGAATCGAAATACTCGAGAATTCAGCAAGAAATTTCCAGCAACAAGGAAAGAAATCATTGAATATCACATTACTAAGGTAATGCAGATTCCATATGTAATTGAATCTCTAATTCAAGTGAAATTCTCGATCATATCAATCGTAAGTTGAGACTATTTGGAGAGAAAAACTTTATAAATCAAATTCGGTAAATGTAACTGAAATAATTTTAGTTGTTTTTTGGAATCCTTTCAATGAGCTCACTTAGGGCATTATTTGATTAACAATTTGGACTTAAATATCAGAAGATATTTTTCTGACAGACTCTGAAACATAGTTATACTGGATTAGATAGATAAAAAGTCTTTGTGTCCTAACATTTGGGGTAAATACAAGTCAGCAAGAAGTCAGCTTCAATGATAACATTGGGGATGAGGCTACCAGAATATATCAAATTTTGAATTTTCATAGAATAATGGACGAAACAGTTTTGAAAGAAAAAAAGGAATATGTTTTCTTGATATTATTCCAACTCCAGAACCCAAAATGGACAAAATTGTTAAAAGCAACAGACAGGATGCTCAGATTCGTAAAAAGAATTAAACAAGGAATTGGATGAATTCCTAAAAGGAACGTTAATTTGGAAAAAACTTAAAGAATCTCTTCACAAAAGTGGAAAAACTAGAAAAGGAAA